AGACACCCCCACCCTCCTGGCTTGTCCCCACACCCCTCCCCCCCCCCCTCCCACCCCCCAGCCTGCCCCAGTGTGAGCCAAGGTGCGGTTTGCAGTGGAGTGACCGCCCTAAATGCGCTGGCCCAGAGCCTGAGCTCTCATTGGCCTCCCCATCACTCAGCCACAGTCCTGGGAGGCGCCGAGCTGCAGTGGCTTGAGAGAGGCCAGGCCTGGCGCAGAAGGTTCAGGCAGTGCACAAGTCCTCCCAGCTGGCCTCAGCACCAAGTGGCTAATCAGGTTCCCTTAGGCCTGTTTCTATGCTAGTGGCTGACTCCCTAGCCTGGGGAGTTAACCCCTGACTCAGCCCAGCCCTTCAGATCCGGTTTTCTCTCGGTCATTCTGACCTCCCTGCTGCTGATAAGTTCGCTCTTTCCTTAAACGGACTGGACCTTCATGTACTGTCTTGTCCTCCACTGGCCGGATTTCCTTTAGGTACCAGATTTAGAGAGTACATGTGTTTGGAAACCTTGGGCTGGGGCTGCAAAATCTGCCAGTGGTCTCCTGAGAGAGCTCTCCTGGGGCTGGCATCTCTGGGTTGGTCTGTCCTGGAATGGTGATGCCATCTGTCTTTTGTATTCTTCTGTTCCCTTCTTCCTGTCAAGTGCTGTGAGATTGTCGTTTTCAAGCCTCTTTGAGAATATGTGTTTGTCTTTCTAGGAGAACGTGTTTGCTGGGCAGTCAAAGATCTATGCCTACATGAGTCCCAACAAATGCTCTGGAATGCGCTCCCCTCTTCAGGAAGAGAACTCAGTTGCACATCACGAGGTCAAATGCCAGGGGAAACCATTAGCTGGAATCTACAAGAAGCGAGAAGGTAAGCCCTGACATGGCCCCTTTCTGCCTTCAGCTGCTCAGTTTGCCCCCTCCCCCCCCACACACACACCTTTCCAGGGCCAGGTGTGAGGGTGATATGAACCATATTCCTTCTCACTAGTGAGAAGCAAACACAGGTGGAAAAGAGTAAGATGTGTCAGGGTGTATGTCCTGTGGTCTGACAGGTTTTTCCAACCTTGACAAGAGTTAGCATATCCTTCAGGCGTGTCTTGCCACATTGCAAAAATAACACACCCGACCTGCGATTTTAGAGGCTCATGATTGTTAAGAATGCAGGAAAATCGAGTCCAGGTTGTGCAGAGCAGGTGAGTGCAGTGTGATGTGAACTCGGTATCAGCTAACTTACCTTGTATGGCGGGCCCTGACCCCATTTCTACAGTGTCTTTCCATTCAAGTGATCTGCGTTATTTTCCAAAGCAGCACGAGCCGTGCGTGAGATCTGGAGTTAAATATTGGATGTAGGCTGGTGGCAGGGCTTCAGTGGTGAAATACTCATCTGGCATTTGAGACCCTGGATTTGATCCTGAGCACTTTACAAAAAAGGAAGGGGAGGAGGGATGAAAGCCAAATCAGAATTGCAATGATTTCAAAGCCTGGACTATAGTATGAGATTTTGTCCCACCTCACTGCCCAGAATAAGAAGGGCAGGGATGTAGCTCAGTGGTATAATGCTTGCCTAGCAAGTGTAAAGCCCTAGGCTCAACTCCTAACACCACAAAAAGAAAATTCCACTTAGTCCTATGAACAGGGTGAACCCTCCAAGAGTCTTACTTTCTTCCAGATAGTCCCTTTTAAAGCTCTAATGGGGAGTCTGAGGCTCCTGTCTACCCCCACACCTCATTCCTGATAGGTGAATCCTGCCAGACAGAGCAGCGCCACCGCCGGGGCCCGTCCCCTCCTCCCCCTTTATAGGAGAAAGCTGTGTATTCCCTAACAGAAACTTGTCAGAAGTGCTAACGCCCTAGCTCTAGGGCTATGTTTGAGAACTAATGTGGGGGAGCCCTGTGCCTATTTTCCAAGCTGACCCTCGGCTTGATTTTTTTTCCCCCACCCCCATGCACAGGACTATGTTGTCTGAATCAGCCTTAAAATAGCTTAGATTCTAACTGTAACTGCCACTTAGAAGGAAGGAGGAGGCTTGGGCAAGCTGCAGCTCTTTTGTGAGCCCCAATTGTCATATCTGTCAGTTGGGCTGTTTGGGGGAGTAAGTTACAGCGTGTGTGTAGAAGGGCCTTTGATGTTGCAGCTGCCAGCTCGGCCAAACTGCCATCACCACATCTTTCTGCACCCTTATGCCTGAAGCTATTAGGAGGGCATCTACCATCCGGGCGTGGGCAGAGGACTCTGTCTGAGTCCATAGCCGCCTTATGTCTCTTCCAAAATTGAACAGAGTGAATACTATCCATATGTCCACATGATGACGGGGGCTCACAAGCCAGCTCACTGGTCCTAGTGCTGCTAAATGACCGTCATCGGAGTTTGGGGTCAAATGTACATTGGGTTTCTGAGAAAGGTCAGGCTCTCACCCAGATGTGCTGTGGCACAGACACATGTTACAGGTGTTAATAGACACTGTACTCCCAGGATTACACCTGCTTCTTGTCAAGAAGAGAGGATGGAGGGGAGTGCGACTGATCTGCTTTTAGGGTTTCTGTTCTAGTTACATTTATTTGCTTTGTATGTGTGCATGCATGTGGGTGGATGTTTCTGTGCTGCTGTGTACATGTCAGGTTCAGAGGAAGGCTCACAGGAGTCAGTTTTCTCCTACCATGAAGGTCCTGGGGATGGATTTCAGGTAAATAGGCTTGGTGCCAAGTGCATTTACCTACTAAGCTGTCTCATACCCTCCCCTCCACCCCTTCCTCAGCTTTTTTAACCTGTACTGGGATCTGAACTCAGCCTCATGCCTGTGTGGCAGTCACTTTAATGACTGCCATCTCTCCTGCTCTCCACATCCAGCTTCCTGGATAATTTTGATGCATTTATTTTTCCTCTTTTGTTTATTGAGCTATAATTCAGTTATCAAAGTTTATTTGCTTATTTTGTAGAGATAGGGGTAGAACCCAGAGACTTGAGCATATAGGCAGACGCTCTACCACTGGGCTACATCCTAACCCAAGTCCCATTCTGCCACCTCTCCCCAAGACAAGATCTGTAGTCAGGCTGGCCTCAAACTTCCCATGCAGCTAATAATGACTTTTAACTTGTGTTTTACCTCCACCTCCCAAGTGTGCTGGGAATACAGGCATGTGCCACCAGACAGGGTTTTACTATTACCTAGTTAGCTACAACCTCAGCTCCAAAGTGTGCACTTGAGTGGTTTTTAGTGTTTGCAGAATTATGCAACCTCTACCTCTTAAGTCCCGAATGTTTTCATGATTACACAAAGAACACACCCATTAAGACTTACTTTGCTGCTGGGTGGTGGTGGCACAGGCCTTTAAATCCCAGCACTCCAGAGACAGAGGCAGGCAGATCTCTGAGTTTGAGGCAAGTCTGGTCTACAGAGCTAGTTCCAGGACAGCCAGATGTACCCAGAGAAACCGTGTCCCAAAAAAGCAAACAAGACTTATTTTGTACTCCCCATCCCCCCAGCTCTAGGCAGCTCTGAAACTCCTTTCTGGGTCTGCAGTTTTGCCTGCTGCGGACATTTCATGCAAATGAAGTCATAGGATATGTATGTAGCCTTTTGTGTCTGGCCTTTTCACTTCAGCATGATGTTTTCCATAGTCTGTCTATGTTGTATGTAGTGTGTGTGTGTCAACATTTGATGCCTTTTATGGCTGAATCATAATCATTTCCCTTGTGTGGACAGACCACATTTTGTTTAACTATCACCCTCTCATGGGTTGTTTACTTGGCTAATGTGCATTAACCACCTCGTTTCATGTATAGATTTTTGCATAGACATGTGTTTTTAATCATCTTGAGTTAGATGTCTTGAGTGTAGAATTACTGGGTCATATGGCAATTATATGTTTAATTTTGTTTTCCAAAATTGCTGTGCCATCTATTTCTCTGGTTGTTACATTAGTTACTTTAAAAAGTAAATTATTGGATCTGTTTTTTAAAAATAGCATAGTTCATCAGCACAGGGATTGCTTGTACAATGTTATCAGTAGTATCAGTAAGGCCATTGGATGTGTGCCCCATGACAGGATACATGCCAGTCTGTCCATGAGACTGGCATTCTAAGAAACTCTGGGAGCTTCAACCTTTTTAGAAGGAGGGCTTGTTTGGGTAAGAACCTGAAGTGAAACATGCCAGGCAGTGAGTGGGGAAAGGAGTCTTGGCTGTGTCCGCTCACTCTGCCCATCAGTGCTACGTGACTCTTGCTTTACGAACAGAGCTTATTTCCTTGGTTGTGCAGCCGAGTGTCTAAAAGCTGGTGGCTGAGCACTCAGGCCAACGTGATCACCCACAGTACTTCACATACGGAGGATCACTTCCTCTCTCCAGTGTTTCAGTCACAACATAGATCCAAGTACTTTTGCCTGCTTGGCCTTAGTGGACACTGGCTTCGTGACAGTCCCATGATGCTGTTCTTAGCCTGTCTTAGAACACTAATGATTCCAGTGCATAGAGTAAATCCCTGTCCCCCGCCCCGCCCCGCCCCGCCCCTGCTGCAGAGAAAAGAAATGGTGGGAGTACGATCCGAAGCTCTGTGAAGTCCGATGAACAGAAGATCAAAGACGCCAGGAGAGGTCCCCTGGCACCTTTTCCAAACCAAAAATCTGAAGCAGCAGAACCTCCAAAAACTCCACCCCAGTCATGTGATCCTACGAATACAGTGGTTGCCAAGCAGGCCTTGAAAAAGCCCCTCAAGGGCAAGCAGGCCCCTCGGAAAAAGTAAGTGTCCAGAGCCCTCTCCTAACAGAGCATTTAGTCCTGTGGCCTGACTCAGGCAGCCATTGTGGTTGAGTAGTCCACTGCCAGGCCTCTCCCCTGAGTCATCACACTTCCTGGTGTTTCCCTGTTTCTGTGTGATGGGTCCAGAGGTCAAGGCCTCCCTCCCTGGCTCTTCCCCAGAGAGAGGAGTGATGAGTTTTCCTTGAAACTGGGGCCCACCTGGATAGGTGAGCAGATGGGCATTCAGGTCCCAGTGCACACGGGTGTTTGAACAACACTTACAGGGTGTTGCCTCCTGGGTCTGTGCAAGAAGTGGGCCTTATGTTTATTTACTTCCTTCCCCTCTCACCCAGGTCTCAAGGGAAAACACAGCAGAATAGAAAATTGACAGATTTCTACCCGGTGCGAAGGAGCTCTAGGAAGAGCAAAGCTGAGCTGCAGGTAGGGTCTGGTCACCTGCAGCTGGGAGGAAGGAGGTGGCCTGTGGGTTTTATTGAACTTGTGTAGATGGAGCCTGGTCTGTATCTTTTGTTCTTTCTCTAGCAGAGATCATCCTCAGCTCCCTTTGGCTTCCTGGAGGAGTAGGAGGCTTGTTTAAGACCCCTCTGGGGAGCTTTGGAGCCTGTACCTTATGGCAAAGAAAACCAGATTGGCTTTTCCAGGGTGTGTTGGCAGGGCATTTGAACCTGGGATCGTGGGGGAAGCTGCCTATTCTTTCAGGAGCTTTTTTTGTCTGCCATCTAGAAGTTTCTAAAGACCGGTAGCTTGGAGTACTTACTGATTGCTGAGCTCAAGCCAGACACATTGGTATAGTACACTCTCCTTTCTGTAAAATAGGACAGTAAAGGCCAGGTGTGAAGACACACACATAATCCCAGTATTCAGGACAGAGTTGGGAGAACTGATGTAAGTTCTCAGGAGAGCAGCCTGGTTTGTACAGCAAGTTCCAGGCCAGGCAGGGCTATGTAGCAAGTGCCTGCCTCAAAAAGAAAAAAGAGAAATTGTTGCTGGTGAGTTGTTATAAAGATTAAAGAAATAGATGTAAGTGGATCCCAACACTTGGGAGAGCTCCTGTTTGAGGTAACTGTTGGCTACATAGTAAAAATCTGTGTCAAAGCAAAATGCACAAATAAAATGACTTCCTGGAGCTAGACATGTAGCCCAGTTGGAGTCCTTGTTTAATGTGCTTCTGGAAGCTCACGATTTCCAGCACTTTATAAACTGGAGATGGTGGCTCTTGTCTATAATCCCATCGCTGAGGAAGTGAAATACCAAGAGTTCAAGGCCAAGAGGAGTGTGGTAGTGCATGCCTTTAATCCCAGTCACTCTTTGTGGCCAGTCTAGTCTACATAGTGAGTTCCCAATAACCAGGGCTACGTACAGAAACCCTATCTCAAGAATCAAACAAACAAAAAGATTAGAAAGCTAGGTTACATAAAGAACTTGAGGTCATTCTGGGCTACATGAGACCCTTCTGTTCTATGATGATGTGGGAGTGAAAACAGCAATTAGCTGAGTCACAAGAACAGACAGACAAACACACCCTTGTTTTCAAGTATGGTCAGTTCCTAGGTATCCTATGTGCCTATTTCCAGCTGAATGTCAAGTAGTTTGTAGGCAGCAAGATAGCCAGCCTGTGTGGCCCACACCTATGTGTACAGTACCTAGTACAGCAGTTTGTCAATATTTGGTGCAGTGGGGTGTGGTTATTGCGTCTCTGTTCTGAACCCCCAGGTTATGGCCAGAGGCCTCCTTGCTCCCACACAGAGTGTCAGGGTCAACTTCTCAATCTGCTGCACATCTGTCTAACTCTGAAACTCCAGGTCACCAGGTCACCTCTGCACAGGAAAGAGGGCACTGGTCCAGGCGGTTCAATCATTTCATCTGCTGCAGAGGTTCCTGCAGCATCAGAGACAGCAGATACATGGACGGAGCTACAGAGCTCAGCCATCCTCTCTTTTAATTGATGCAAAGCCGAAAGTGGGGTGGTCTGCCTCCCCCTCCTTCCCCACTTCCTTAATAGCTTTGGCTTCATTTCTTGTGAATGGCAGTGTCTTTTGGCCAAGAATGAGTTGTTATAAATGCCCGCCAGCAGTGGGAGGCTGTGCTAGGTCACTGTCAGAGGCGGGTGGCGCTGCAGAGTGGAGGTGCAGAGCCTCTGCACCACAAGAGCCCAGAGTTCATCCCAGCCAGGCATGAGCCATGGCAGACCCCACAGGAGGGCAGGGGAGCTGTTGGGTGGGGGCACCTAAGGCGGTGTGCTAAAGCAAAGCCGGACTCTTGTACCTGGAGCACAGAAGGCTGCAGAGGGACTTGTGTGACTGCAGGTCACCTACTTACCGCAGCAGATAAACTGCAGGCAGGAAAAGTGTGCCCTGTTATTAGACCAGGAACCAGTACAAGCAAGAGCCACATTGTGCCCCTTGCTGTTTGTCTTGGCACTGCTGAAAGATCACTGTGCCCCTGCTGTTGGCTATGGCAGTGAAGTGACAGCTGCCCTGGGCGATGTGGATGTGACTGTTGTTGGCAGTGTCTGTGTTCTCCTGACTGCAGAGAAAGCTGGAGGGCATAACAGCTGTCAGAGAGTTGTGATTCTTCCTAACCTAACTAGGCTAGGCTGGGGGCTGAGTTGGTGGGCCAAAAGATACCATACTTGACCAAATGGCCAAGAGTGAAATCAAAGTCCCAAGTTCTGGGGCACCTCATGGAGTTGAAGAAAAAGCCTGGCTGGGCCAAGTCAGGTCCAGAGTTCAAAGCAGGAGGAAGGGATTTGGGTTGTAGGGTTTGAGCACAGAGCAGGCAATAGAGAGATGCCTTCAGCCCCATGGCTGGCTGGCTGGCCTGCCCATTGGTGGGTGGCAACCACACTATAGTAAGAACTATGACTGGCAGTGTCCTGGCCTCCTTCTCCCTTGTGATACCTCCCGAGGACTATAAGGAACCCTTCCTACTTCTGTCCACCTTCACTCAGGCCTTGTCTAACCACTCCATCTGCATTCTGGCCTGTTTTGGCTGTGCCTAAATTACCCTGAGGAACCCAAGGCTGACTGGGTAAGCTTCAAACTCCTGGCCTACCTCCTCAGCTCAGTTCCTCCAAGCCATATTCAGCCCCAGCAGGAAGCTCCCCAGGTGCCCACCTGGGTTATATCCATGCCTCTTCCAGCTCTTGTTCTTACTCTACACACTGGGATGATTAACTGCCATGAGGTGTATGTCTGTCCAAAACTCACTCCTGACCTCTGTCCTGCTAGGATTTTCTGTGGTGAAGAGTCTCAATCCCCTGAACTCATGAACTAGGTACTTAGGCAGCTGGAGCTGAAGAGATGCACTAGAGCCTTGTCTCCGTGCTTGGAGCCCTAGTTGCAGTCACTGGTACTGCCAGGAAGACAAACTAACCTTGCATACCTTTGGATATTACCTTAGAGAGCTAGAATAGTGTGGAGAGTGGGGAGTCTAAGGTTCCTCTGTCCCCAGGAGTCTACAGTTTCTCTCAAAATGTGTCTTGACACTGCAGCAAAGGAGGAAACAAGCAGGCAGATGGATGAGGGAAAAGGTCACTCTAGGCAGGAAGGACAGCTGCTCAAAGGGGCAGAGGCGGGAGACCTGGCCTTCTGGAAGAGCCGGCTCTGTAGCTGGTGGAGGGGGTAGATTAGGCGGTGGGGGAGGTGGGGTGGTGAGGCTTGTACCTTGTACATAAGATACATAATCTTGTGCCTACATAATAAGTCTGGGCCAGCCGCGGTGGCGCACGCCTTTATTCCCAGCACTCAGGAGGCAGAGGCAGGATGTCCTATGTAAGTTCGAGGCCAGCCTGGTCTACAAAGCTACACAGAGAAACCCTGTCTCGAAAAATAAAAAGGGCTGGCATGGTGACCCAAGTCTTTAATCCCAGCACTTGGGAGGCACAGGCAGGTGGATCTCTGTGACTTGGAGGCCTAAATGATCTCAAAACAGAAAAAGGTAATGGGGTAATGGTGGAAAGGTATAGGCTAAAGCAGCATCCAGGTGAGCATGGTGGTATGCTTCTATAGTCTCATCACCTGGGAGTCCTCCATATAGTGCATAGTAAAACCCTAATTCTAAAATTTCATGGAAAAATTACAGAAGCAATACTGATACTTCTCGGAGACATGTTTTATCATTAACATCTTGAGTCATTCTGTGAATTTGTCACTACCAGGGAAGCAGTATTGATGCTGTTAGGTGAGCACTCTGCAATGAGGTGACTTCTTTTCTGTTTCCAAAAGGACTGGTTTTGGTGTGCACAACTTTAATCCCTATACTTGGGAGACAAAGGCAGGCAGATCTCTGAGCCCAGCCTGGCCTACATAGCAAATTCCAGGACAGTCAGAATTACATAGAGAGATCCTGTGTTTAAAAAATAACAACAACAATGATAACAGAGAACAGGGTTTTTCTGTAGCTTTTGGATCCTGTCCTGGAATTCACTCTGTAGACCAGGCTGTCCTCTAACTCCCAGAGATCCACCTGCCTCTGCCTACTGAGTCCTGGGATTAAAGGTGTGCACCAACAGATTGTCCTATGCTGGCCCAGAACTTCCTATGTAACCCAGGTTACCCTCAAATGTTTGAACGTCCTACCTCAGCCTCCTGAGTAGCTGGGATTATGGACATAGGCCACTAAACCTAGTTCATGGGTGATGGTCGTTTAAATTAAGTCAGAATCCATAATTTCTGTTTACTTATTTACTTAGATTTGTGGCATTCGTGTGCCATGGTTTGGGTGTGGTGGTCAGACAGGACAACTTTAAGGGAGTTGGTTCCCTCCTCCTACTGTATGGGTTCTGGGAATCAAATTCAGGTGGTCAGGATTGGCAGCAAATGCCTTTGCCCATTGAGCTATCTTGCCAGCTCTAAAGTCCTGATTTTTAGATCCTGGTGAATTAAACATTTTTCAAAAGTACTGTACAGGACAAACAGCATGTTTAAGGCTGTGTAACAAATACGTGAGGTAATAAATGATAAAGATTTATTCTCTGTTACTGTTCTTAAAGGTTTCAGTTCATGAGCTGACCCTGTTGTATTGGGTAGGCAGCATATCATGGAGGAGGAGCACATGGGACAAAACCACTTGCCTCATTGCTGAAAATGAGACAGTAGGCAGGAGCTCCACTGTCCCATACAGGGTACATCCCCAGTGACCCCCACTAGGTTCCACCTCTTAATGGTTTCAGTGCCTCGCTGTAGCACCACAGGACAGACCATGCATTTCTCACAAGGGCCTCTGGGAGACACTTAAGATCCAGACTAGCATGGTCTGCTGATGTCTACCTATAATAATCCCACAGTCTGGAGCCTGGGGCAGGAGGATTATGAGTTCACAGCCAGACTGGGCTTACACAATGATTCCCTGTCTCAGAAACCAACAGAAACAAAGGCTTAAAGCATAACAGGCCAGAACTGTGTCCTTCCTGTCCCAGGCGTAACTAGATGATGGATTGCTCATTGCAGATTGGTGAGGAGAGGTATGCTTAGGGCTCAAAGGTTGGCCAGAACTTGGTAAGTCAATGCTAACACTGTTCTTTTATTTCCATTCCACCCAGTCTGAAGAAAGGAAAAAAATTGATGAGCTGATTGAGAGCGGGAAGGAAGAAGGCATGAAGGTAAGTAAGGCCACAACATGATTGCACTGTGGTGATGACCTCGCCACCCAGCACATGGCTGAGACCATCCCCAAGGCTGCCTTGACTACACATGGTCACTGGGAGTAGCACCCCTTTAGGTGTTAAAGAGCCACATACAAAAACTCCTGTGAAGCATGCATGTCAGGAAGGGAGCACAGAGGCATCGTCTTCTTAATTGTGAGGAGATGTCCATGGTAGAACATACACTTTTATTGATTTTATTTTTCTGTGTAATGAGTGCTTTTGCTGGCATGTATGTCTGTGCACTACAACTGGAGTTGCATGGTGGATGGTTGTGATCCACCATGTAGATGCTGAGAAATGGTCCTGGATTCTATGAAGAATAAGTGCTCTTAATCACTGCACTATCACTCAGCACCATTTTTATTTATTTGTTTGTTTGTTTGTTTGTTTGTTTGTTTGTTTTGAGACAGGGTTTCTCTGTGTAGCTTTAGAGCCTGTCCTGGCACTCGCTCTGGAGACCAGGCTGGCCTCGAACTCACAGAGATCCGCCTGCCTCTGCCTCCCGAGTGCTGGGATTAAAGGTGTGTGCCACCAACGCCTGGCCTCTCAGCCCCATTTTTAGATGTAATATTTACAAAGGATTTATTTTTATTATATATACGTGTGTATATCTTCCTATTTTGTGCAAATGGGGTGGGGTTGCCCACAGACTCCAGAAGAGGGTGTCAGAAATTTTGGAGTTAGAGTGGTTGTAAGCTGCCCAGTATAATACACTGGTGTGGGTGCTGGGAACTGAAACGGGTCCTCGGCAAGTGCTCCTGACTGTTGAGCCATCTCTCCAGCCCCAGTTCTGGTTTGGTTTCTTTGTTGTGTTTTAGGCAGTGACTCTCTCACTAAGTAGCTATGAAAAAAGAAAGGTGCAGTGGGATGGTGGCAAAGGCTGTTATCCCAGCTACTTAGGAGGCTGAGGTAGGCCAGTCTTAAGATCAAATCTTGTCTAAGATATGGAGTCGGTTTCAATAGCTGGGTGATAGAATGCTTTCTAGCACGGGCAGAACCCTGCATTCAATCCCTAACCCTCACCTGCTAAAAAAAAGTAACAAACAAAATATGAAGAGAAGATTGAGTTTATCCTAAACTGTTGTCCCCTGGTGAGGTCTCGGGTCCTTGCTTTTCTCCTGATGGGTCTTGTTTTGTGTTGGTGCTGGGGATTGAACCCAGCACTGTGCATGCTGAGCATGTGCCAAGTCCCAGAGCCCCACTCAGGCTCTCGGGGTGTTGTATACACATGTGGTATGGGTTAGGGGAAGTAGCTCTCCAGGGTGTGCTGGCAGGTGGATCTGGCTTAGGAGTCGGGTTGAAAAACTTCCCTTTCACCCATAACCTAGACTCTCAAATTTAGTCCTGGGCCCCTTGAGCAACCATCAGTTCTATCACTCCATTTGTAACCAGTGTAAGGAGAAACACCAGAGGTATTGATGGATCATGAGAGATTCAGATCGCTGGACTTTGCTCCTCCCCCAATAAGCAGAGAACCTCATGAACCAGAGCCCCCAGTATCACCATTTGCTAGCTGTGTGGTCTTGGACACATGAGTCTGCCTTTCCAACCCTCATTTTTTTAATCTACAGAATGGTATTTTGCCCACTTAGCAGATTTTGGCTGGGAGCCTAAATATGAAATGCACTTTATAATGGACGTAAAGGAGCTCTTTTACATGGTAGGATGGGAGTGACCTGAAGCTAGACCCAGTACTTTTAGTAAAAGCTGTTAAACCATTACACAGTGTGGATAGGTTTTATTTTTATTTTGTTTTTATTATTGCTTTTTGTTGTTATTTTTGTTTCTTGAGACAGTGTTTCTCTGTGTAACAGTCCTGGCTGTCCTGGAACTTGCTCTATAGACTGGGCCGGTCTCCAGCTCACAGAGATCTACCTGCCTCTGCCTCCTGAGTACTGAGATTAAAGGCAAGTGCTACCACTGCCGCCAACATGGGCTTTATTTTTATTGAAGCCCATCCAGTAGAGTTAGTTTAAAAAATGTATTCCACACTTCCTGAAAGACACTATGCCTGGTGACACCTGAACTCTTATGGTCTTGTTACCCACTGACAGATTGATCTCATTGATGGAAAAGGCAGAGGTGTGATTGCCACCAAGCAGTTCTCTCGGGGAGACTTTGTGGTAGAATACCATGGGGACCTCATTGAGATCACCGATGCTAAGAAGCGGGAGGCTCTGTATGCACAAGACCCCTCCACAGGCTGCTACATGTACTATTTTCAATATCTGAGCAAAACCTACTGGTGAGTACTCTGTGAGTGGCCCTGGGGCCACTCCTGAGTCTTTGATCAGTTTCCTTACTTGTTATGATTAGATCAGATCTCTCTATGTAGCCCTGGCTGGCCTCAAACTCATCAGACTCCTGCCTCAGCCTCCTGAGTGCTAGGATTGCAATCGTGAAGCACCATGTCCAGTGAGATGGGCTCCTTTCACCTCTCCAGTTAGTTTTTGGGATTGGAACTATGCTTAGGCGGGAGGGGACTTGTCGCCTACAAGCCTGCTAGGCAGCTCCCAAGGCCTCTCTCCCTCTGGGCATTTGCCCCAGTAGCTCTACAGAATGGTAATTGCTTCTTAGGCTGGGGTCAGGGAAGCTGATTTCATCCATTTATATATTTTGAAACACTAAACATACCTCACCTCCATAGAGAGGTCTTTGGGGTCTGTCTCCAAGCTCTCCATGCAGAACTCTATGGATTCTCCAAAGTAGCCTTTGGAAGTAAACTTTCTTCACATGAGGCTGTCAGTCCACATCCCACTAGAGTGGTGTGGATCAAGATCCCCAGCAAGGTTAAAAGCTTCTTTACCAGTGTAATCCCCTCTCGCTCTCCCATCACACCAGTGTGGATGCCACTCGAGAAACTAACCGCCTGGGGAGGCTGATCAACCACAGTAAGTGTGGGAATTGCCAGACCAAACTGCATGACATCGACGGCGTGCCTCACCTCATCCTCATCGCCTCCCGAGACATTGCAGCTGGGGAGGAACTCCTGTATGACTACGGCGACCGCAGCAAAGCCTCCATCGAAGCCTACCCTTGGCTGAAGCATTAACCATGTGGCCTCCCTGCCTCCCTGCCACCCTGCCTCCTTCAAAGGACAAAGTGCCCTCAAAGGGAAATGATTTTTTTTTACACACTTACTCTTAGCTAATTACTTCAAATGTTTTTAAAAAGTATATTAAAGATGCCTTTTCATGTAGTATTTAAATATCTGTTACAGGTTTCCAAGGTGGACTTGAACAGATGGCCTTATATTACCAAAACTTTTATATTCTAGTTGTTTTTGTATCTTTTTGCATACAAGTTGAACGTTTGTGCTTCCCGAGCAGTCTAGGACTTGGCACAGGTGGTTTTAGAGAATGGAGTCGAACATGAACTAGGAAGCCGGGCTCTGCCCAAGATGAAAGCCAGGACTCCCCCACACCCCACATCCAAGGACAGGCGGGTGTGAGGGTGCTGCCACCACCCATGCACAGCCTGGACGGGATGTCTCCAAGCTCTTGTTCTCCTCATCGTCTTGATAGGCATACACATTGACGTGTATGAATATTTTTTACAAAGGTTTCACAGTAAGCTAGTCTTCCCCTCTGCTTTCTCCAAAGCTTACTGAGCCCGGGGTTTGGAGGCCCGGCCGGGAACAGACCTCTTCACATGCTTTTGGCTTTTCCAGGCACCTCGAAGCATCAGGGTGGGCAGTCAGACTAGAGGCAGGTCGGGAAAAGCACTGTTCTCCTGCCCCAATGGGGCAGGTCTCCTGAAACTGCATTAATTCTTTATAGAAATGTGAACACTGAATTTATTTTAAAGAAAAAAAATAATAAAAAACCAAAACATTTTAAAAAAAAATCAAAAAAAAAGAAAAAAATGAAAAAAAAAAACCACAGAAAACAACTTATATGTATATAGGGTTTGAAGGGAGTGAAATGACTGCTTTTTTTGTTTTTGATTTGTTTTTTGTTTTTGCTTTTTTTTTTTTCTGGGGTTCCTTTATTTTTATCTTTTTGGCTTGGCTGGCTGATTTGTGTAGAGAATATTTGAGATGGTACTTTATTCTAATCAAAAGTAAGGTTTTGTAGTGGGACCAGAAATTACTAAGCCTGTACCCCACCCACCCCATCCACAACCCCGATTCTGCTGCGTGGAAAGTTCTCTACCTGCTGAGTATCCCATGAAGATGCTGGCAGCCAGAGGACCAGGATGATAGTTAAGTTCTTAACCTGTGATAGCAGAGGTAGGTGACTTTCTTCTCCCTGGGAAGGACTAGTTCTCGCCATTCACCTTTAGTCTAGGGGCTGGGGCTCTGGAGCCAGGTATGAGAACCTACCCTTGTCCCCAACACCTCCCCCTAGCCCCCAGCCTCATGATGGTGCTACCTAAGAAAGTCTTCCCCACACCCCTTGCTAGCCTGGTCAGTGGTCAGACTTGGAGGAGGATCCGAAAGGAGGGTGTAACTGTGAGATAAAATGTCTTGGTTGTACCTGTTTGTGGCTTAGCTTTGTATTTAAATAGCAAACAAAAAAGGAAATAAACTTGAAAATTATTTGTCATCATAAAAATAAAGCAAAAAAATTAAAATATTTATTGCCAGGCAAGGCCACCTATGTGTTGTTCTTTTTTTATGAGGTAGGGATAGACTAAAATAGGAGGGGATGGGTGTTCTTTTGTTTAAAAAGAAGGAGAAATGCTGAGACAGACATATGACTATAAGTTTATTATAAGGCCCGGCAGAATGGGGAGACTAAGAGGAACAGGGGTAAATGGCTGACCGCCATGGCCGGTCACCATAGAGAGACAGAGCGGGACAGAGAAACAGAGGGCGTAAATGGGCAGGGGCCTATCTTTTAAAGGGGTCCTCTGCACCTGCGTGCAGACTTAGTTCCCATGGAACCTTGGGCTGACCAGGGTTCTGCCTGAGTGGATTCGCCCAGGTAACAGGGGCAGGCCAGCATAATGCCTGAACCTTTCAATGGGGATGGCAGGTTCAACCTGAAAAGGCTTTTTTTCTTTGTTTTGGAGCCTGTCGTGCAACTGGGTAGACCACGCTGGCCTCGAACTCAGAGATCCACCTGCCTCTGCCTCCAAAGTGCGCCACCACTGACAGCCCAGGCTTTTCTCCTTATTTGTTTGTTTGTTTGTTTGTATATTGGCTTTTAGAGACAGGGTTTCTCTGTGTAGCAGCACTGGCTGTCCTGGAACTGAGTACTGCCTCCCAGGTGCTGGGATTAAAGGTGTGTGCCACCATGTCTGGCCTGTGAAGGTTCTTGCCCTCAGGCCTGGCTACCTCAGTTCTGAGTTTGATCCAGGCCTTCCCCCGACCCCAGAAGGAGAGAACAATCCTCAATTATATTTTGAACTTTACACATACTGTGGTGTATAAAGAAATATAAAAAAAGACATTGGACTCTAACATCCTACGGAGATACAACTTTGAGGTTTGTCCTAGACAGAATTCAAGCATGTTGTTTAGAATTTTTAACTTCTATAAAGGGCAGGTTCAGAGGGCTCTTGGGAAGGTTCTTGATGTGTGTGGGGCCTCTGGGTAATGAGTAGCATGTAGCAAATCCCCTAAATGGTAGCAAGTGTGATTGCCATTATTGTCTTGATTTGGGACCTGTCCCAGGCTGCCCTGGAACTGCTGTATAGTCAGGTATAACCCTGAACCTGGTATTTATGCCTCCATCTCCCTAGTGCTGAAATCTCAGATGTGTATCCCCACACCAGCTCCAGTCCTTTCAAATTCAGTAGATTTGACTTTGTTTTCCAAGACAGGGGAAACAGGTAATAACCCTGGCCGCCTGGAACTCAAGATCCCCCACCTCTGCCTCTTTGGATACTGGGATTAAAGGTGTGCACCACCATCTTGGCTGTAGATTTGACTCTTATGAGCTGCATCTGTCCCAGTCCCATGTTATGTCAACTATCTTTGTTATTTCAGTATTTGTGACCTTTTGGGACTAGGTGGTTTAGACATTGTATCTGTCTTAAGGACAGCCTGCCCGTTGCCTTCAAGGGGTGTTGCAAAGACTCACCCATTTGGCATTGTCACAGAGTCCATTGTAGAGGACTCTGTGGCCTAGTGGTCACATGTCAGCTTCTTCCTGCCCAACACTGATGCAGTAGGAGTACTAAGGGCAGATTTGATGCATTGATACTAAAAAGGCCCTTGGACTAGTGCTTTGCACATGATAATCAATGCAGATTATCTGTAAGAGTAAAAATAGTTTCATGCTTCCCAAGCCTGATAGCTAGTGAAGGCTTCCCAGTTCTGATGATATTTTAAGCTGGATGTAGAGCTCTCTGTTAAAAGCATTAACTGCCACCCTTAATCCTACAACTCGTCAAGATTTCTATTAGTTCAAGTCCAGCCTGCTCTATGTAGTTCCAGGTCAGCCAGGGATATCCAACACTAGCTGCACCAAGCCTGATGACTCAAGTTCAATCCCTGAAACACACACAGAAAACTAGGTGTGGGCACATACCTCTGACCCCAGTACTTGGGACACAAAGGCAGCTGCATCTATGAATTCCAAGCCAGCCAGGGCTATGTAAGGAAGGACTCTGTCAGGGAGATGAAAGCAGAGACGGAAGAATTCCCCAGAAGCTCCAGAGCCAGCAATCCTGGAGTACATAGCAAATTAGAAAGAAGGAAGACTCCACCTCAACAAGGTAGAAGTCCAGAAACAACTCTAAAGTTGTCCACTGAGGACTGGGAAGGTGGCTCAGCAGTTAAAAGCACTGACCCTGCTCTTCCCAAGGATCCTGGTTCAATTTCCAGCAGCCACATGGCAGCTCACCACAGTCTCTAATAATTATTTTTCTTGCTTCAGTAATAAAATAAGAAGTACTACTTCTCATTAAGCTCAAAAGCCTTAGTCCCTTTTTAGTCAGATCTTTGGCATCTCTTTCAGTCTGCAGAGACTTAAAGTCTCCCTGGCTGACACCTCACTTGGGTTCCATGAAACATGCATGCCTTGTATGCCCGCAGGCACATGAACCACCTTTAGTAGGAGGCCACTCCAAAACACTAATAATACAAAGTATAAAGGCCATTTTATTTAATACAAAAGTCATATAAAGTTGCATGAGAAAAATCATGTATTCACCGAGTATCAGCAAAGTCAATTCCGTGTTTTCCCACATGTTAATGACCAGACTATCTCAGAGGCTGGAATAGGCCAGAGTCTTCTCCATCAGTGGAAGCTCGATGTGGCTGTGCCCTGTGCTCCTTTACTTTCTGAAATTCTTGGTGTTACCTCACTTGTCCTGGCCAAAGCGTGATGGGTGTCCAGGTCTGTCCCCAAGGAGCAAGTGAGCAGAGAACATCTTCCTTTGACTACTCTGAGGGGGGAACGAGTGCACCAGCCCAGAGCATTCCAGAAGACATCTTGGCAATTGTCTTCTCAAGTCAGAGGGTGTCACCACCTTGGTCATGACCTTCAATCTAGGTGTGCTTCCCTGACCGGAAAAAAAACCTGGGTAGAGGGAAAAAGGAGGAGAGCATGGTAAAATCCACTCTTGCAGACTGTGGACGAAAGAAGCCTGTGTGATGTTAAAGTGGGTAAAGACATCTGTCCCAAGCCTGACACCCTGGGACCCACATAATGGAAGAAGAGAATCTATTATAATTTAACGTTGGACCTGCACAAGTACTGTGGCATGAGAACCCATAAACAACCAAATAAGTTCAAAATAAATTTGTGCATGGTGGCCGGGCGTTGGTGGTTCATGCCTTTAATCCCAGCACTTGGGAGGCAGAGACAGGAGGATCTCTGTGAGTTTGAGACCAGCCTGGTCTACAAGAGCTAGTTCCAGGACAGCCTCAAAGCCACAGAGAAACCCTGTCTCGAAAAACAAAAAAATTGAGGCCATGAAATTGAGGGGGGGGGTGCACATGAGAAGGATCAAAGGATGGAAAGGGAAAGGAGAATAGATTTTAATTAAAAAAAATATTGTTAAAAACAAAATATGGCTGGGTGGTGGTGGCGCATGCCTTTAATTCCAGCACTCGGGAGGCAGAGGCAGGCGGTTCGAGGCCAGCCTGGTCTACAAGAGCTAGTTCCAGGACTGCCTCCAAAGCCACAGAGAAACCCTGTCTTGAAAAACAAAAACAACAACAACAAAAAAAAAATATGGTGATGTATGCATGTCTTTATCCCAGCACTCAGGACAGTCTCCTGAGTAGGCAAGAGTTCAAGGCCAGGCAAGTCTACACAGTAAATGTCAGTAAGAGCTTGTCACAAAAACACTTGGGAGGCGGAGGCAGAGGCAGGCGGATCTCTGTGAGTTTGAAGTCAGCCTGGTCTACTGAGCAAGTTCTAGGACAGGCTCCAGAGCTAGACAGAGAGACCTTGTCTGGAGAGAGAGAGAGAGAAAGGGGTGGGGATGTATGATCACTTAGTTCCCTGTGATCTAAGGAGGCAAGTTCTATTATCCTCATTTTACATGTTGGGAAACATAGGCTTCAGGGAATTTACGGGGTCGTAACCTTAGGAGGTAAAGCTTGGGATACTAGCACTGCCATTAGACACGAGGAAGAAATGGGTTTCAACATCTGAAAGGGGAAGGATTCTGCTTGAATTAGAAATTCTAGGGACTATATAGTACACACAGGGCTGGTGACTGTGTATAATTCAGGGAATCTGCTGATTAAACATATTCCCTATGTGCGAAGTTCTATATCAACTTGACACAAGCTAGAGTTAGCCGAGGAGTGAACTTCTAGTGAGAAATTGGTTCCATAAGGCAAGCCTGTAGGACATTTTCTTAATTTGTGATTGATGTGGGATGGTGCAGCCACTGTGGGTGGTGGTATTGCTGGGCTGGTGGTCCTGTGTTCTATAAGAAAGTAAGCTGAAGGCCGGGCAGTGGTGGCACATGCCTTTAATCCATATACTCGGGAGGGAGAGACAGGTGGATCTCTGTGAGTTTAAGGCCAGCCTGGTCTACTGAGCAAGTTCCAGGACATCCTCTAAAGCTACAGAGAAACCCTGTCTCAAGAAACAAACAAAAAAATGCAGACTAAGCAAGGCATGAGAAGCAAGCCAGTAAGCCAGTAAGCCCCAGCCCTCCATGGTTTCTGCATCAGCTCCTGCCATGTTTTGAGTTCCAGGTTCCATCCTGCTGGGAAGTTCCTTAAGCAGGAAGGTAAACAACTCAAAATAGCTTCAGGAAGTCCCCAAAACTGACCATATTCACTAGGTCCTTCCCTGCCTGAGTAAGCAGTAAAAGTGAAAGTCCCTTTAAGCTGAAAGAAGCAGAAACCAGCTGAGCTGTGTGGAAGGAGTTTAACTGAGGCACCTGGAAAGGACACTCTCCAACCTGTTGGCCTGCCTGCAGGGGCTCCAGGTTCCCAGCTTTGTGAGCTGTCACCACGTGGGGGTAGGCTTTGGTGATGCAGCTACCTTTGAGTCATTTCTGCTTCTGTAAGTAATCCCTCACCCATATTCCTGTAAGTAACCCCAATAAGACTCATGGTTCACCAAGCTGGACTTTGGTGGTATCTGTACTTTGGTCTGCCATGGGTTCCCTATCCAGAGTGAGTAGCCCTGTGTTTCCTCTCCCCAGTAAAAACTGTCTCACACAACACTGGCCTAATTGCTTTGATGATGAACTGTTATTGGAAATGGGAGTAAATAAACACTTCCTTCCCCAAATTGTCTTTGCTCACAGTATTTCATCCCCAGAACAGAAACCCTATATACAACACCCTGCCAGAGTATAAGAGCAACAAGTGCTCATAATTGCCAGCCCTCTCTCCAGCCCCTAGTTTCTTATTTATTTATTTATTATGTATACAGTGTTTTGCCTGCATGTATGCTTGTACACCAGAAGAAGGCAACAGCTCTCATTACAGATGGTTGTGAGCCACCATGTGGTTGCTGGGAATTGAACTCAGAACCTCTGGAAGAGCAGCCAGTGCTCTTAACCTCTGAGCCACCTCTCCAGCCCCACCCCTCCAACTTTCCTCTTTATGTTTAAGAGAAATAATTTATCAATAGATTCTCCTTGGCATACCAAGTTGCCAGCAAAGACTCCCCTGCCTTGAAGCCACTATTAATAGGAGGTTCACTAGAACATAGACCCTGCTGGGCTGCCACCCTTGACCAATGACTGGGCTTGAAAAAAGATAATCATATGAAACATATCCCAGACTGGACATGGTGGGAGGCAAAATATTTCATCACACTGCTTAGAACAGCATGCAATTGGAAATTTGGAATACACTATTTCTTTCATTTTCTTTGTCTTTTCCCTAGAGACAGAGTTTCTCTACGTAGCTCTGGCTGTCCTGGAACTTGCTCTGTAGACCAGGCTGGCCTCAAACTCACAGAGCTCTATCTGCTTCTGCCTCCTGAGTGCTGAGACTAAAGGTATACACCACCATATCCTCCTGGAACCTCATTATTTCTGGAATATTCCATTAACTATTTTGGATCCTGGTTGTCCATGCCTATGTGAAATCTTGGAAAGTAACCCTATGAATAATTGTAATGACATTAATAACATTATGGCTCAAAGTTCTTGAGTCAGATAGATTCTCATTCAAGGGGCAGACTCTGTCCCACACATTGCCAGGATGTGTCCCAGGCTCAGACTTCTTCCTCAAATTGGTTACAGTTATAACTAAATGGCATGAAACTTTCCTACTGGCTGCAGCCACATCCCAGGAGAGGAGAACCTCCCATCCTAGGGCTGGCCAGCTTCCCACAACATCCCACAGTCATGATCTAGTGGTCATGGGGGCATCTGGGTGACTCACAGCTTCTTCATGATGGTCCTTTCTTCCTTCTCTCTGGTGCCCATGGTAACCACAGCATCCTTCTCTCTTCTTCTTCCTCCTGGAGCTTCTCTGGATGGAAGCAGGCCACTGGGAAAATGGGAGAGAAGAAGGAAATAGTTGTACTGTGGATCTCTTTCTGGAGTTTTAGTTCAGTGGTACAGCACATGCTTAAGTACATAGCTAGCCTCGGACTCCACCACTGACACCAAAAATAAGTAAAATAAGGTATATGTTGTTGTTGTGCTTTGAGACAAGGTTTCACTCTGTAGACCAGGCTGGCCTTAAATTTAGAGAGATCATCTTGCCTCTGCCCCTTAAGTGCTGGGATTAAAGGGGTGTTCTACCAACCTGACCACTGTTGTTTCCAATCAGGGTCTCACTATGCAGCCCAGGCTGCCTTGAACTAACTCATGGTCGTCCAGGCTTACTGGGATTACAGGTATGTATGACCACACATGGATGAACTTCTTTATGTTTGTACAGAGAAGGTCTCATGTAGCACAGACTAGCCTCTGAATTTATAATCCCCAGCCTCCACCTCTGGAGCACAGGGATTATAGGCATGTATCACCACACACAACCTGGACTTCCTTTTTTGTTTGTTTTGTTTTTGTTTTTGTTTTTGTTTTCAAGACAGGGTTTCTCTGTGTAGCTTTGGATCCTTTCCTAGAAATCTCTCTGTGGACCAGGTTGGCTTTGAACTCATAGAGATCCCATTGCCTCTGCCTCTCAGAGCACTGGGATTAAAGGTGTGCAACACTGCTGCCACCACCTGGCGACTTGCCTGGACTTCTCATGGTCATGTCTCCCTATTAAACTACCAAGGGTTTTTTGCTACCAAGGGGCTCACTATCCAGTGCTGTGCAGCTATGCACTCGATGCCTGGCACATAGTGGGTGTCCAGTAAACTGGGTGAGTGAATGCGGGAGCACCCTAGGCTGCTGCAGGGAGCCCACCTCCTGTAGCACTGCAGTTCTTCCTGCACCAGCAACAGCTGCGACTTGAGTTTATTGCGCTCCTGCAGCACGTCCCTCAGCTCCTGCAGAGTGAAGCGGGGCCTGTTGGGGTCGGTCAGATCCACTACCATTTTGTCCGGTCCAAGGTTCACCTGAAAGACAACATGCCAACAGGGTCAGCTACTACACCCACCCCTGATAGGAAAGGTCGGCTCTGTGGTGCCCTGTGAGCTGAGACGTGGCTTGCCTGGAGGTCAGGTAAAGCACCATTCCCTGAGAGCATTCCCAGGGTTCCTCTGAGCAGCTGATTCCAGGACTGGAGCAGAGGGCTTATGACCAATGAGTACATCACATTAACAGAGGAATGGAGATGATTAAATGAAAATTTGAAGGTCCTGTTGCTCAAACTGAGGACTTGAGTATCGAAATGACAGATAACAAGAAGGAATGGAATTTATCAATGAAAGCCAGAGTACAGGGCTGGTGAGATGGCTCCCCAGTTAAGTGTAATTGCTGCTCTTGCAGAGGACCCAGATTGGGTACCTAGCACCCACAAGGCTACTCACAACCATCTATAACTAACTCCAGTTCTAGAGGATCCAACACCCTCTTCTGGCCTCTAAATGTATTAGGCACACACGTGTGGTGCACATACATACATGCACATGCACACAAGCAAAACACCCATACACATGAAATAAAAATCAATGCATTACAAAGCAAGAAGACAAAAAAAAAAAAAACAAAAAAAACAAAGGAAGAAGACAGAGGCAAACACCTACCTCACATGTGTGTAGCCAGGGTTCCATCCCCAGCACCAAAAAACACCCATGAAAATATACTGAACCAAGACAGTCACAAGTTACATGTGTTATGTAATAAGATTCACATGACTCCCATGGGACACAGTCACACTGGGGCTGTGTTTCAAGTCTCACCATCTATGTTCCATTGTCTCAGTATTAGTGCGTCATGGTACACCCAGTTCAGACCTCTCACGGCTGATAACAGGACAGTGGAATTTTTCCAAAATCATTAAAAAACAAAGACATTCCTCAAACTTTTTTTTTTTGATAGAATGCTGACTCAGGACTTCTTGAGTCACTCCCTGGGTAGCTGTGGATGGCTGAAGGGTTTCACTCATCCTGAATCTAGGGAATAAACAAAAACAAAGCCAGGGGTGGTAGCCCACCCTTTTAATCCCAGCAATAGTGAGACAGAGGCAGATGGATCTCTGTTCTACAAAGTGAGTTCCAAGACAGCCAGGGCTACACAGAAAGAACTAACCTCGAAAGACAAACAAAAACAACCAAAATGGGGGAGGGGATTAGGAAAGCAGTGTGCTCTGCCAATCACTAGCCTACCTAGAGAATAAAGGAAAACAAACAAACAAACAAACAAAAACCCAGGTTTTCTTGGGGGGGAGGGGTGTTTGTTTTTCAAACAGGGTTTCTCTGTGTAGCCCCCCCACCTCAAAAAAATAAAAGTGTAGAAAAAAAAAGATTATGTGAATGAACTTAGTGCCCTGAACAATTAACCTGAACATGGTAAAGGAGGGTTGGGGAAGCCACACAATGGTAGAGCACATTTGCCCAGTGACAGCCAAGCCCTGAGGTCCATCCCGCTATGGTTTAAAAAAAAAAAAAAAAAAAAAAAAAAACTTAAAAAGATACAAATAAAAAGTAGGCAGATGCGGTGATACACACTCTTCAACCCAGCAGTTAGAGCCATGGCTCTTGCAGGGGACCCCAGTTACGTTCCTAGCACCCACATGATGGTTCATAGCCATAAGTAAGCCCAGATCAGGGGACCTAACAGGCATATACAGTGTACAACAATAAATCTAAAAAATCATTTGTTGAGTAAACCAATAAATCCAGCACTAGAGAGGCAGAGGCTGATTTCTGTGAGTTCCAGGCCAGTTTGACATCTACATGGTGAGTTTCAGGCCACAGTGAAATTTTGTCTCAAAAATAAACTGAAGACAGTAAATGAGTTTCATGTTACATGTATTTGACCACAAGTCAAAATAATTTAAAAATTATAAAAAAGTAATAAAAAGAAGAGGATATTTTAATAAACTGTGTTTCGAGTGAACATTTTTTATTATTATTATTTTATGCTCTTTCTTTCCTTCTTTTTTTCTTCTCTGAGTCAGGATCTTGCCATATAGCCCAGGCTGGCCTCAAACTCCCAACCATCTTGCCGCCCAAGAAGGTATGATAGACATGTATCACCACATCCGGCTCCACACCCCCAGGCTTCCCACACCCTGACTTGAGACTGTATTTAAGGAAGAAAATATGCTACCTCATCTGGTGCCTGTGACACTTGTTTCCTCTGCCCCATGGGGGAAATCACTGGGCCCCATGCAAACTACAGTTCCCAGGCCATAATGCAGCTTCCTCCATTTCCATGTGCCTGAAGGCCATATGCACCAAATAGCATGAATATGGCAGAGCAATCAGGCAAGAGAAGTGATTAAATTTCTTGAATCTCCAAGGTCAGGATACCATAGAGGTTCTTGGCCATCATGCAGCTTGGACATGGTAAAAGAGTCATGCAAATACAGTCATCACTGTCACTTAGAAGCCGGTGAAATATGCCAGTAGTGGTGGTGGTAGTGGTTCAGACCCTTGCTTCCAACACACAAACTGAGCCGAGAAGATTACCATGAGTTCCAAGCCAGCCTGAGCTACACAATGAGACACTGCATTAAGTAATACAAAACAAGGAAGTAGTAAGTGAAATGAAAGAAATAATAGATCAGGGAAGAAATACATGCCCACGGATGGGAGAGACAGAGAGACAGAGACAGAGAGAGAGTGAAGTTATAGGAAGTCCTTTCTTAGAATAGTTGTTTAAGCTGGGCACAGCATCTCATGCTTGCCACCTCTGTACTCTGGATGTGGATGCTTCTGTTAGAGGACCTCTGAGTTTGAGTCTAGTCTGGTCTACACAGAAAGTTCCAGGCAAGTGAGGGCTACTTAATGAGACCGTGGTTTTTTGGTTTTTTGAGACAGGGTTTCTCTGTGTAGCTTTGGAGCCTATCCTAGCACTGGCTCTGGAGACCAGGCTGGCCTTGAACTCACAGAAATTGGCCTGCCTCTGCCTCCCGAGTGCTGGGATTAAAGGCGTGTGCCACCAACCCCGGCCGAGACCCTGTTTTAAAAAAGAAGAAAGAAAAAAAAGAGAGAACTTCTCTCATAAACAAAAATTAATAAAGTAAGGAGTGTGCTACTTACCTCAGCATATTCAGGCCATTCCACTGCCCAATATTTCAACCTTAATCCACAGAAACAAAAAACCACCCCACATAGCATCTTAGATCCCTCTTCAGTTAAGCCCCACTAAGTCTAGCAACTCTGGGTTATAGTGCCTCACAAACTTGTCCCCTGACACACATACACACACACTCAGGGACATGTGCACACATTAATAATTTTCCTTTTTTTTTTTTTTTTTGTTTTTTGTTTTTTTGAGACAGGGTTTCTCTGTGTAGCCCTAGCTATCCTGGAGTTCGAGGCCAGCCTGGTATACGAAGAGACTTCCAGGACAGCCAAAGATTCACAGAGAAACCCTGTCTGGGGGGCAGGGAGTAAATCAAGGCTGGAGTGATAATTCTGTGACTAACAGCAGTGGTTGTTCTTGCAGAAGACCTGGGTTCAATTCCCAGCACCCACATGGCAGCTTACAACCATCCATAAATCCATGGTGGGCGATTCAATGCCCTCTTCTGGCCTTTCCGGGCACTGCACGCATGTGGCACACAGAAGTGCAGCAAAGCAAAACACACACACACACACACACACACACACACACACACACACAGGTTAAAATAATTTTTAAAACCTAAGCAGTAGGCTACTGACATGGAACACTGCAGGGTCAGACACTTAGTAGGTACTCAATAAATGTTAACTGTGGGAAAACTTCCAAACTGAGGCTTGGGTTTTGCTCACCTGGCCTCCGGATACACCGGCTCTCCGCAGCCCCTCCACCTCCTGCCTGAGGTTGTCCCTCTCCATCCTCAGCTCCTCGGCCACCAGGCTGCCCTCGTTCACCAGCGCCTCCAGCATCTCCATCACACGTACGATCTTGAATTGCAGCCGGGTGACGCGGGGGTCGCTGCCCAGGGCCATCAGCTCGCGGCCCACCTCGTAGGAGATGTCGTACACGTCGTCGGTGGTCAGCTGCAGGGGACTCTTGGCCAGGGCGCCTTCGTCGTCCTCCCCGTCCTCCTCCTCCCGCACAGGGGCCTCCTCCATGGTGCCCCCGACTTTGGCGACCTCCGGGACTGCTGTCACCTACACGTCCACTGGCTTTGGGTCAAGAAAACTTAGCGCTGGGCGCAGTCCACGCCGTATGCAGTCTGGGTGGCCCCGGAAGAAAGCTCGGAGTCGCGGGAAGCACCGCACCACGGAAAAGCACGCGCAGCTGCACAGCCGTGCGCCAGATGTAGGAGACACGGAGCAGGGTCCGCGGGAAGAAAAGCAGCGAGAGAGGACCAGAGAGAGGCCTGCTAGTCCACGGGGGAGGAGCCGCTCGTTGCTCCGCCCTTGGTGACGGGCGCGTGAGAAGCCTGGTTTCCATAGAGACGGGGGCGGATTTTCCAGGGTGGTCATGGAAAGAGGGTTAAAAAAAAAAAAAAAAAAAAAAAAAACTCACAACTTTTTCACTTTGCAAACTGGAGCTTTCCAGCTATCGAATTTGCATGCCACCGGAGGGGAAATCCAGGTCTCTATTGAAGTTTTTTTTTTTTTTTTTTTTTTTTTTTTTTTTTTTACATTGTGTAGCAAACCCGCAAGCAGGCAGCGGTTGAGCTGGGCGTCGGTGGAGCATGGCAACTTAGCACTCAGGGGCCTCTAGCACTCAGCTAGCTATCTTGTTGGCTACTCCGTTATATTTCAATACATGTGAGCAAGAAAATGCAGAGAGCCGACTCCCCTGCACCGTGAAAGGACCTTGAAAAACCGGCTGCTAAAGGTAAAGACGCCGGTGCAAAAAGCTCCGTACACACACACACACGACTTCTTTTCTAGGAAACGTCAGTATAGAGGATTTCCTGGGCAGGGAAGGGCAATCAGCTTTCTGTTATTAAAAAGAAGCAAAAGAAAAGCTGCAACACTCGGTCCGCATCAGAAGCTGACACACTGCTCACACAGCTCACACGGCTCCATTCAATAAGATGTGTTCTAAGAAAGGGCCCCAAGGCCGGGATCAGACCTCGAGGTGGGAGGGAGAGCATTATTAGACAGTCTGTGACAAAGTTCTAAACAGGACCGGGCCTTAAAAGTAAAGGCTTGTTCCCTTTAAAGCTTAGAGAGGAGCTTCCTCAAGAGTGAAATAAGATCCCAGCACTCGGGAGGCAGAGGCAAGTGGCTCTCTGTGAGTTCAAGACCAGCCAGGTCTATAAGAGCTAGTTCCAGGATAGCCTCAAAAGCTGTAATGAACCCACCCCGCCGCCCCCCCAAAAAACAAAACAAAACAAAACAAAAACCAAAAAACAAAAAGAAGGGCTCTTGGTTTTGTATGGCATAGGTCACGTTAGCTGGCCAGCAAGCTTTTGCAGATTCTGTTGCCTGTCTCCTGTCCTCCCCAGGGGAATTGGGATTACAGAGTGGGACACCACCAAAACACCTGGTTTTTATGTCAGTTCAGGGATCTCAAGTGTTTTTACCAACTGAAGCATCCCCCAAGCCCCTAGGAACCGTTTAGAAATGGAAATTGTGAGAAAGTAAAGGTAGCCTAGTGTGTGATCGAGCACTACAGAGTAACACATGAGTATGCAGAGTCCTAGGTCTGGTCTTCAGCACCAGAGCCCTGGATGCAAATTTCTCCATGCACTGATTCAGAAACACCAAGGCTGCCACAGCAGTGTTTTCATCTAAAAGCCCTCTGGGTAACACCAGTTTTTGTTCTTGCTCAATCATTTGTTTATTTGTTTTTATTTAGATAGTCTCATTCTGTAACTTCTCTGGGGCCTGGGATTCACTATTTAGCCACCCTATTCTGAAACTCATGGCACTCCTCCTGCCTCATCTTCTTGAGAGTTGTTGGTCTTACAAGTATGAGCCACTACACAGGGCAATATTTGGAATCTATACTGATGGTGCATCCATCCAGACAGTGGGGTCTAGAGCAGAGTGCAAGGGTTCAAAACTTGGCTTTGCTACTTGTGGGCTGTGTTGAAGTCAGGTAAGAACATTACTTCTGACTTAGGGGCTCAGTTTTCCCAACTGTAAAACTGGAATAAGGATGTTTTAGAAGATTTTTGTGGATTGTTGAGGGCACATATGACAGAGATGAGGTATTCAACCAGTGTTATTTTATTTTTGGGTTTTTGAGACAGGGTTTCTCTGTGTAGCCCTGGCTGTCCTGGAACTTGCTCTGTAGTCTAGACTGGCTTCAAACTCAGAGATCCACCTGCCTCAGCTGGATTAAAGTTGTAAGCCACCACTGCCTGGATGACCAGTGTTATTGTAACCATAAGCTATTTTCATCGCTAAATAGAAGAAAAAAAGAAAAATTTCAACTCTATGTAATTATTTACTACTAAGGCAATAACAACTGGATCAATAACAGACATAGAAGAATAAACAAACAAATAAAGCCTGCATTACAAGGTTTGGTGGTCCAGACTTAAAGCCTCAGGCACCTGGCAGGCTGAGGCAGGAGGATTCCAACTTCAAAGCCTTACTGGGCTATAGAGTTTGTTTGAGTATAGCCTGGGCAACTAAGTGAGATCCTCTCCTGAAATAAAAAGTCAAACAACAGAGCTTGGGATGTAGTTAAATAGCAGAACACCCACCAGGCAAGGTCTTGGGGTCAATCCCAGTGCCACAAAACAAATCAAATGCAACAAACAAGCACACATACAGTATGTCTGTAACAGCTGGGCATAATGGCCCATGCCTTTAAGCCCAGCACTTGGGAGGCAAAGGCAGGTGGATCTCTGAGTTTGAGGCCCCCTGGTCTATACAGTGAGTTCCAGGAAATATGTTTAAATCCTGTCTCATCAACAAACAAGCAAACAAATAAATAAAATGAAACACACTAATTTCAAGGCAACCCTCCCTCTTGAGAAGTCCACACCATTCTTGGGTGTGTACTTTCCTTTCCCAGCCCAACCAATTCTCTCTCCTCCCCCCATATACCCTACTGTCCTTCAGAAATTCAGTTACTTTGCTTTTTTTGTTGTTGATGTTGAATTTCAAAACCACTATCCCCTTGAGAGTTAAGACAGGAAAAAGGTTGAAACAGAAATTACAAGTAAGTGGGTGGGGGTCACCCATGATCAAAGTGGAACTGGAGATGACACTATAGAGTGTGGGTCCTGACACCCATAAACAGGAACATTCCATCCACCAGCAGTGGGTGTATTGCTCAGGTGCCCTGACTCTCCAACACCAGCTCTTTCCTGTGTGGCTCCTTCAGAGCTGCTTTTCTGGGTTCTATACATCATGTTCATATGGCCAGGATTGTGGAACTTTCTTAGACTGTGGAGTCCTTCTTTAGTTAAGCTCTTAGGGGAGGATCCAGATGTTGTCTGGAGCACTTGTTTTGTGTCTCCGTACATCAGTAGTAACTGGCTTTTTTTTTTCTTTTTCCTTTTTTGTTTTTGCTTTGTTTCAAAGACAGGGTTTCTCTGTGTAGCCCTGGCTGTCCAGGGAATCACTTTGTAGACTAGGTTGATCTGGAACTCAGAGAATCACCTGTCTCTGCCTCCTGAGTGCTGGGATTAGGGCCATGTGCCCCTATGCCTGGCAATTGTTTTGTTTTTAAATCTCTGTGATCTCGGCCAGGTGGTCCCAGTCCAACAGTTAATAAAGAACCACCCACCAGGCAGCCCGGTGGTGGTGGTGCACACTCTCAGGAGGCAGAGGCAGGAGGATCTCTGTGAGTTTGAGGCCAGCCTGCTCTACAGAGTAAGTTCTAGGATAGCCAGTGCTACACAGAGAAACCCTGTCTGGAAAAAAAACAAACAAAAATGCTCAGGTCAACCACTAAGACTTATGAGACTGAAGAAGAATTGCTAAGAAAAAAGGGAGGGAATGAGGCTGAAAGATACTTTTCTTTTGATTGTCTTTTTCATAGATTAATTTATTTATGCTTGCAGTGCCCTGGGAAATCAGAGAGGGCGTTAGACTGTCAGGAACTGAAATTACAGACTGCTGTCAGCGACTATGTGGGTGCTGGGAAGCGAATCCCGGTCCTCTGTAACAGCAGCCAGCTCTTACTCGCTGAACCAACTTTCCTTCCTGTTCTTTGAAACAGTTTCATTATGTGGCCTGTAACTGTCAATCCTCCTGCCTCAAACTCTCAAGTGCTGAGATTACAGGTGTGCCCACCACGCCCAATACTAAAAGTGAAGTTATTAAATCTAGAGATTGGCAAAACCATGGGAATGTAAGAAATAAGTTCACATTAAGATGACCAACATTTTCTAGAAGTAAATGTAAACAGATTCGCAGGGTAAACTGGTCCCTGAAAACTAACTGCACATTCGATAGAACCAACTAAATTTAATTTTTTTATCACCATGAAAAACAAACCGGCTGGGCGTTCTGGCGGTGGTGGCACACGCCTTTAATCCCAGCACTCGGGAGGCAGAGACAGGTGGATCTCAGTGAGTTCGAGACCAGCCTGGTCTAAAAGAGGTAGTTCCAGGACAGCCTCCAAAGCCACAGAGAAAACCTGTCTCGAAAAACAAAAAAAAAGCAAAAACAAAAACAAAACCCGAAGTCCACTTCCTATGCTGAATGTATATAATTTTTCTTAAAGTAATTCAAGAGCCGGGAGAAGGGCCACGCCTTTAATCCCAGGACTCAGGAGGCAAGGGCAGGCTGATTTTTCTGAGTTCGAGGCCAGCCTGGTCCACGAGTGAGTTCCAGGACAGCCAGGGCTACACACTGTGTCCCTGTCTCTGAAAGCAAAACAAATAAAACAGCTCCAGGTCTGTAGCGAATCTGCTGCTGCCAATAACGAGTTCCGGTAGAGGTCGGCGTAAGCGATCCCGAGTCGTTGCTGGCAGACGGGCCTTGGGAGCGGCCGGTCTCGTGTCGGCGTGGAAAGAGCCTGGGACTTGCTGAGGTGAGTACAAAAAGCTCGGAGGGAACAGGGTCAACGCGAGGAGGCGGAGAGATTAGGCCAGCGGTCCGTGCGGGGCGCCACGCCCGCGACGCCATGTTGAAGCCTGGCAGAGGAGGAGGCCCGGAGGTGGGAGCGGGACTGAGGGTTGGTGGGAGGTCGGGCCTCGGGGGGGCGGCGGGCGAGCCAGCCTCCGGGGCTCGTCAGGGCCTAGCCGGAGCCTGGGGATCACGGTACCAGATTCCTGCCGGCACTTCCGCCCTGGCTTCTTCAGAGCCACTGCGCATGCCTGGGATGGGTTGATTGACGCCACTGTTGGTTTCGCTTTTCCGCGGGTTTTCTGTGCGGAGCCTTTGCTGGTCCTGAGACCTACCCACCTCCGGTGAGGACACACTTTTTCTTTTTAAAGGTGGAGAGCTCACGTATCCCAGGCTGGTCTCCAACTCAGTAAGTGATAAAGGATGAGCCTGAACCCCAGACGAGTCTCTCTAGGACAGGAATCACTGGCGGGCGCCACCACGCCCCGCCTGCCCGGGCTGCTTTAGCCCTAAACACCAACAAAACCCGCCTTTAATTCCAGTGTTTGAGAGGCAGAGGCAGGCGGGTTTCTCGGAATTCGAGGCCACCCTACTGTATATAGAGATTTCCAGGACACCAGGACTACATAGTGAGACCCTGTCTCAGAAAACAAAACAACATAAAATAACCCCCGAAACTATAATTGGTGTGCTATAACTAATTATAAATAAGAGACTCCGCCCCACAGTTAAGTGAAGGGCTGGGATGTGGCTCCTTTGGTTATCTCACGTGCAAGAAGCCTTGGGTTCTGTCTCCAGCACCCATTAAACTTGATGTGTCTGCAGGAAGATCAGGAGTTGAGGATCCTTAATTATATAGGAATGTCAAAGTTAGCCTGGGCTGTGTGAGGTATTGTCTCCCTTTCGTTTTAAATTCCAGGGTAGTTTTGTTTGAGTTAAATAAGTAAATAAACAAACAAACAGAGCATAAAGCTGAAATTACTGGCAGCTCCTTAAGTAGGAAGAGAAAAAGTGCTGCCTGGTGTAACAAGGCATGCCTTTAACCCCAGCACTTGGGAGGCAGAGGCAGGTGTATCTCTTGAGTTCGAGGCCAGCCTGCATGTTTTCTTTTTGAGATAGTGACTCAGTAGGTAGACCAGGATGACTTGGGTCTCCCTCTGAAACCCAAGGCCGGCCTCATGATCTGAGTGCTGGGACTATATAGATGTGCAGCACCCCACCTCAATACAGCCTTGTATTTTATGAGAGCAACCGAGGGAGCGGTGAAGAGTAGACTCGCAGTCCCTGGTTTGACTTCCCTTCTGGTGTACTTCTTAGTTTTAGGATCAGAGAACCTTTTGGTGTCTGACCCTCCTCATCAGAAGTGACTGTAGTGGCCCTCCATCTCCACTCTGTATTGCTGCCAGGTGAGAGCTAGGAGCTCAGCACAACACATAGTGGTAAAACCGGAGTGCTGGGTACAAGCTTCTGGGTCTCCCACAGTGAGTGCTCTACTAGCTACCCTACAATGGAAGGAGAGCTCAATTCTACCAAGAATTCATGGCTCAGCACAAAGGAATCTCCATAGACTACCAGAGCAGGGAGAGATGGTGGTAACAACATGCTTCTGGTTTTCACCTGAAGAAACTCCCCAAATTAGGGAGGAAAAGATCACAAATGGAAAGAAAGCCAGAACCAGGGAAGCCTAACTGTCACTGTGGTCCTTCTGTTGTCTGGCTGTGTGCCATCCTTTTACTGATAAGGACACCAGGGAGGCAGCTTTGTTGCTTGTGACTGACAAGTTGGTATCATCCTGGTTTTTATAACTCAGTAGAAGGCTGTGCAATGTTCAGCTTTGAACTAGCCCAGGATGGCCTTCATATTTTCTCCTCTGCTCCCTAGGTGTTGGGGATGACAAGTGTGGGCTACCATGCCCAATTTATTATTATTATTATTGTGTGTGGGTATTTTGCCTGCATGTATGTTTATGCATGCCTGGTGTTCAGAGGTCAGAAGAGGGGTTCAGATCCCCTGGAACTGGAATTACAGACAGCTGTGAGCCATCATGTGGGTACTGGGAACCAAACCTGGGTCCTCTGCAAGAGCAGCCAGCCCTTTTAACTGCTGAGCCATCTCTCCAGTCCCTAGCTCTTTGTTTTTTGAGACAGGTAGCCCAGACTGGCCTCCAACTCGTGGTAATCCTCCTGCCTCAGCCTCCTGAGTGCTAGGACTACATGTGCACATTATCATGGCCAGGTATGAATACTGTTTTTTAGGGATGTGGAAAGATGCTGTTAGGAGTTGCCTTCAGTGTTTCTCAGGCTCCCAGTTGTAAGCAGAAGTTTTCAGCTTTGTGTTCAAAGAATTAGTGGGCAGTCACAAACTTTCTAGAGTGTGAGTTAATTTCATGTGTCAGCACAAATGAGCTACAGTGAGGCTCAGTACAGTTATTCTCATGCCCAGCCTGAATAGATCATCAGGTTGGGAGCTGAGAAGAAAGCCCCTAGTCCTGAGCCCACTGTTCTCATGGGCAGTGGAGTTGGTGGCGTGTGCCTGCAATCCCATCACTCAGGAGGGTGAGGCAGGAGGATTACCACGAGTTTAGGGCCAGCTTGGGGCTATAAATAAGCCCCTATATAGTGAAACTCATGCTTCATCAAAGGGGTAGATGACACTGCTTTCCACAGCTGTGGTGAAGGTGGAGAAGATAGCGCTTCACACTGGTTTGCTGTTACTGTTCTAGAACATGAGTGACTGGATGCCCATTGCCAAGGAATATGACCCGCTTAAGGCCGGCAGCATTGATGGGACAGATGAGGATCCACATGACCGGGCTGTGTGGAGGGCCATGTTGGCCCGCTACGTACCCAACAAAGGCGTTACTGGAGACCCCCTCCTTACCCTGTTTGTGGCACGACTGAACTTGCAGACCAAAGAGGAAAAGTTAAAGGAGGTCTTCTCCCGCTATGGTGACATCCGGAGGCTACGGCTGGTTCGGGACCTGGTGACTGGCTTCTCCAAGGGCTACGCCTTCATTGAGTACAAGGAAGAGCGGGCCCTGCTGAAGGCCTACCGTGATGCTGATGGACTGGTCATTGACCAGCATGAGATATTCGTGGACTATGAGCTGGAGCGCACCCTACGTGGCTGGATCCCTCGGCGGCTAGGTGGTGGGCTGGGTGGGAAAAAGGAATCTGGACAACTGAGGTTCGGGGGCCGGGATCGGCCTTTCCGAAAGCCCATCAATTTGCCAGTTGTCAAGAATGAGCCGCACAGAGAAGGGAAAAGAGAGAGGAGGGAGCGCTCTCGATCCCGGGACAGACACTGGGACCCCAGGCCCAGGGAGCGGAACCATGACAGGGGCCTAGAGAAACGCTGGCAAGAGAGGGAGATGGCCAGGGTGTGGCCTGAGAACGATCGGGAAAGAGAGAGGGAGTTCAGGGAGGACAGGGCCAAAGGCAGGGACAAGAGGGACAGAAGTAAGTAAAGCCAAAGGCAGCCAGCTGAGGCTTACCCAGAGGCCCTTGGACGGGCCATCATCAGCCTGGGGCAGTTCCCTTTCCAGTGCAGACCTCAGACAGGTCATCCTTTTGCAGTATTGAGGCTTGAGCTGGAGAGCACAAGAAAGCATGCTAGGCAAGGGCTCCCCTGCAAGATGATGGGAGGGAGAAACAACTGCATAAGAAGTCACCCGGCTCATATGGACATAGAAAATGTTTGTCATCCCAGCGCTTTGGGAGACAGAGGCAGGAGTATCAACAAGAGGGGATAATAAAGAATTTGTCTTTACTTTCTCATACCCTTTGATGTAAGGTTCATTGTGGCAGAGGGGATAGTGGTTTAAAGCCCTTCAATAGCCTGGTGTGGTGGCATACACCCTCATCCCAGCACTGGGGAGGCTGAGGCAGGAGGACTCAGAGTTTGAAGTTTGCCTAGGTTACAAAATAAGACCCTGTTTCAATAACCTACAAAAATTAGACGTAACACTGACATTGACTCGTGGGATGCGTTGTCTTTTCCATCTTCATGTTTGCTGAATTGACATAAAAACAGGCTAGAAAAGTCAAGGCCAAGGAGAATTGTCCAGTCTGTGATAACCAGACAGCAGGTCAAGCATCTGGGTCAGCAGGCAGCTGCTCAAGTCCTGCTCCCTGTAAAAATGCTGACTGCCTGCTTTCCCTTGACTGGCATTTACAATGAAATTAGTATTGCAGGGCTGTGATCTGCGATTTGCAGCCCTTTGGGAGGAAACAGAAGGTGAGATGAAAGAATGGGAGGGATGCGATCCCTGATGACCTGCAGCTGGGCCAAAGGGTTGGCGTTCTCTTTTTCTGATTATCTGGATTCTGGTTTGCTGGGCATCTGGGGTTCAGCGAACCAGTGTTTAGCCGGAAGGCAGGTGCAGGCAGTTTGGTCTGTTTGAAATCCTGTGCACTGTTTTAATCAATAAACATTGCTACTGGGGAGCTAGCAGACAGCTCAGAGCACAGTACATGCTACATGAACTGGAGAGATAGATGGTCAGCATCCAAGATCACTTGCTGTTCTTGCAATGACCTGGGCTTGGTTCCCAGCACCACATATAAATGTCTGTCATTCCAGTTCTAGGGCATCTGATACTCTCTTCTGGCTTTAGGCCTCACATATACACATGGAGGCATTCATATAAACACATAATAAAACAATAAAGTCAACCCCCCCCCTTTTGACAGGGTTTCTCTGTGTAGCTTTGTAGATCATGCTGGCCTCAAACTCACAGAGATGCACCTGCCTCTGCCTCCGGAGTGCAGTGGTGGTGTACGCCTTTAGTTTCAGCACTAGGGGGTAGATAGAGGCAGGTGGATCTCTGTGAGTTTCAGGCCAGCCTA